TGGTTACTTCTTTTAACATTTTTTGTTAAGTCCTTCTTTGGCACATAAGCCCCTGAGCATGTAAGCAGGCTGTGGAGCAGTTGTAAATACCTTTGCTCCTCACTGAAATCTTTTGCTCCATGTTTTAGTCCTAGATAAAACGGCTTTTCAGAGCAGGAAGACTCACCTTTTTCTTCCCTCTCTTCTCTCCAGGTGTCCCTGATGAAGTTTTTATCCTGTGAAGGCCACCTTTATATGTAAACCTTGCCACTCTGGGCAGACTTACTCATTCAGGCTAAAATTCCTGGTCCAAAGATTTTAGATTCCTGTTCCAGGTGCCAGTTATCAGGTCCTGACCTAGATCTTCAGTCTCCCAAATGAGTATACAGCAGAGGTTTAAATAAATTGAGACGAGTTTTATGATTTTAGGACTCCAGCAGATCAAAACCCCTTAGCTGAGGTCGAGACTCCCAGGGTTAAGACAAGACTTCTCTGGATCAGCCCACTTTTATTATGACCACGGACAAAAGGCAAGGAAATTAAGAAAAGCACAGGAAATGAGCAGGACTGTGGGAGTCATTCAAAGACTTCTCTAAGTAGCAATTTATGCCAATTTAGGAGAGCTGTTTTATCTCCAGAATAACATTTCTGGTAGGAGTGCTACTGCAGGAGTGAAATTCCCTCCATTGCAGTCCCTATTTACTTAATTAATGTTGGAAGCAAGTTGTCTTCAGCTGTAGCCTTATCTTGTCCTTTGAGGTATCTCTGGCCTCACAGGCCACTACAGGCCGCTACAGGCCTCAGGCAGGACCAGTGATTCATAGAGGTTCACTTACTATGAATCAGCTCCAATCACCAGGCAAGGGGCCAAGGCCTATGACATAGAAAGAGAATTAGTAAAAAATTTTTTTAATTTTTTAATTTTTAAAAAATTTTATTTAAGGAGAAAAAGAGAAAAAAAAAGCAGAAAAAGGGTACAAGTTATACAGAATTTCAGAAAAAAAATAAACAGTAGGAAATCACTAGTTACTGGATTACATATTGTCATCTTAGAAATGTTTGTTCAAGTTACAAAATTAAAGCATATAAAGTGGACATTCAAACAGTGAGACTGCAAACAGTTCTGTTCAATGATCCAACAAAACTCAGTAATGTCACTATCTTATACACTTAAATATATATGCAGTTATATCGTTTAGAGCACTTTCTTTTCCTCTCTTTTGTACAATGACTATTACACATTTTGGGTTTTATTACTCCACGATTCTTATTACTTTTTTGGAAGAGAGTAAAACCAAATGTGATATAACAGAACAGAGTCGGTTAAATCAAAAGGATGGACATAATAGATAATGTAAAAACATAATACAAGGTGATCAGCAATGGTTACCATAATGCCTCCCGCTATCTCAAATAGAATTACCTATATCATCAGTTATAATAAAATTGAACAAAACAGTAAAGAACGAAACCAACAAAACCAAAACATGAGAAACATTACAGGTCTTCAAAAGTAGATAATAGTCAACTAGAATGGGCGTCATAATGAATCCCACTATCTTCACAGCTGTTGCCTAAACTTTTGAACCTGGTACTATCAAGCAAACAGAATAGGGGGACATCAGTCAAAACAAGATGGTGAGAGCAATACAGGGCTTCAAATCAAGTTAATAGTAAATCAAAGTGCATTACTATAATATATCTTGTTATTTTTTAGTTATTTTTCCCTTAAAATGATAAAAATTAAAAAGTAAATAATAAAATGGAGATTGAGATAAAAGAGGGCATAACAACAAAACAGCGCAGATCAAAACATAACCATTTAAGCAAAATAGTGTTTCACCACAAGATAATCCCGACATAAAAGTAGTTACCATATTGTCTCTTTCCTTGAAATCTTTGAGTATAACAGTATACGAAGTTATACTCAGAGAATTAGTAAAATTTAAATCCTGCTCAGATCCTCTTCGTAGTGGTCTCCAACAGCAGATGTAGTCTTCAGTGTCTCAGCCCCATAACCCAGTCCTCCCCACTGGCTGTCATATCCTGTTTTCATTACCTACCCCAATGCTATTTAATCATGATCTCATCAATGAACTTACCCATTGATGATGTGTGAAAACTCATTATAAAAACACTTTCCAGAACTCCATAGGCAACCAAGGCTTCAGTACGTGAGCCTTTTGGGAGACATTCTGAATTTTAGCATAGTACTATGATTAACTCCTTACAAACCTTAGTATGTTATTCTTCTCTGGATGTTTTACCAATGGAACTCACAATAGGTAAGCATTTGAGAAGTCTGAATATTGAATAAAGGAAGCACACAGCACTGGGTGATCTTTATGTCTACCATCACCCCATTTTCTTACACCTGAAGGTTTTATAAAATAATTCATGGATATGAGTTAATATCTTTGAATATTTGAATTCAAAAAAAAGACAAAGCAAAACAAAATCAAGAAATAATTTATTGGCAATTAAGAATGGAAATCCATAGGTAACTTTATTAACTTATAAGATCAAGTTGGACCATACTCTACATATAAACTAAATTGTATCAACTTTATGTTAAAGTTTTATCATTAGATATTTTTCTAACACTTTAAGGCCAATTGCATTGGTCAGAATTCAGTTTAGCCATCCTAACTGGGGATGATTTATATAGATATTCCAGTGGCATTGAATGACATGCTCAATAATTTTTCAGGTTTATTGCACTAGTAATTCCCTAGTAGAATTGAATTGTAGCATTACTGTATTACCATCTTAAGTAAAGCCTTTACCTAAGCAAGTCATGTTATCAGTAAGAGAACAAAAGAGGATACAGTAGAAACACATAGTATTCTACCATTAGCATCAGAAATACCACCCAAGTGATGACAAATGAGGGGCTGCACAGTGGGAGACCATCAGTGTTTATATCAGCAAGAGAGCTCAGAGAGCTGTGGATGTACTCTCTGCTTCATGCAAGAACATGTGGTATCAGGGACCCTAGATCAGCACTCATTTTCTGTGGACTGTCCTGCTCATGGAGACAGCATTGTTAGGATGCTCAATGTGACTCATTTTTAAATTCTCACTTAAGGATGCATGGCATCATACTAGTTGGTAACATGCCTCTAAATATCAATTCCCTGTACTTTGCTGAACTGGCAGTAAATAATGCCAGTAATGTCATTTCAGCTGGCTTAAAGGTTTCAACCTTTCCATGGGGTTTATTCAGATCCATGTCATTCAGAGTTAGGTCACAGTAAAATCATTAAATGCAACCTGGTGGTGTGGTGATAAAGGACTGAGTATCATGAGTTTATTCATCTACTTAAGTTTGTAAAAGAATGGAATACATATGCTTCGGAAGTTGCATGTTTTTACTGGTGACCAGTTCATAGGCAAACAACATAATTGCGAATGGGAAGGACCCATGAGAGATAAGGGCAAAATGCTTTGGGGAGGCCTGGGAGGGTCAACAGAGTCCTGATACAATAATTTCAGTTTTAACATTTCATTTGTTCTTTCCAAATTATCTGAGGACAAGGAAGAAAAAGAGTGAAGTTTCAGAGTGATGTCTAATCTGGCAGTGATAAACAGAGATGGGTTGCCTAAAACTGAGAAAAGAAGCCAGGATTTAGTATAGGATGCAGTGTCTCAGGGCTCTATCTAAACTCTAGCAAAGACAGCTTAGTGTTTGTTTCTTTTCTAAAATAGGTTACAAGACAGACACACATCAGAAATAAGGAGAAGTGTTGTTAAATCCATAGATAGATAGAGACCAAAGGATTAGTATAAACAATTATGTCTTTGATTAACAAAATGATTGATTCATACCTTATAAAAAGAGCATATTTGTGAGGATATGTGATTACTACCTCTTACATTGTCTCTGTAATCTATTGCACAGTGTTTTAAAATAACATCAAACTCCATCGAAGTTCCATCACAGATGCAATGACACAGAGTGAGTGTAGCCATTGGTCAAATCAATTTTTCTTTCACTACATCTATGTTTATTTTTAATTCAAGTATTCAAAGTAAGAGTTGGAAGCTCAGAAGGAAGTGTGGCTTGCATAAGGTGTCAGACAGGACACAGAGCAGTGTTACATGGCTCACGCCCACCTGCTGCACCAGGAAACCTCTGTTTCCTGCTCTAGCACAGCACTAGCAGCAGCAGAGCAGAGCCCAGCAATTCTTCCCTATCCTGTCAGCCTCACCTGAGATTGCAGAGCTGAGACTGGAAAAGGAAGGGGGAGAAGGCAGACGTGCTCATCTCTAGGCTTCTGCAGTTGGTGATGGCTTCAGTGTGGCTGGGTAGGGAGAGTTCTGCAGGGAGCAGGTTTCCTCTGTGAGCTGAGGACTCAAGTACAGAACTGGGACTGTAGGAATGAAGTATAGGAATCAGATTTCATTATTTCACACCAGTTACCTCTAAACTCTCTGATTGTAACTTTTTCCCTTAAGGATCCAGTATCACCCAGAAGGTAACCTAAGCCCAGCCAGGGGTACGGGTGCAGGAGACTGAGGCTATGCTCCTACCCTGCACCTATGACACCCATGCCTTGTTTTCTGGCTGAGGCTCTTATCCATCAACATGTTGGAGCCTGCTTCATGGGAAGACATGGTTTCTCTTCTGGCTGAGGGTCTTTCTGATCCACACAGCAGAACGTGTTCTACTTGTTGATGACCAGTGCTGAGGGGCAGAGTAACTCTATAATGACTTTCTACTACAGCCTATGGTTTAGTCCAAGCCCTTTTATGATATTTCAATAGCTTAGAGGCTGTCTGAAATAGATGACACTCAAGACTTGTATATTCTCTCAGCTATCGACACCCTGAGATTCACTACTAAAGCATTTAAAGGTCAGATGAGTCTTACAAACAAAAGGTTCTTCATATTGTCAAAGGCACCGGAAAACCTACAAGTGTTTTATAAATGAGGACAGTAAGGAGGTCATACCTGACCTTTAGGAGTCTGAAAGGAAACCATTAACACCATGTTTGTCCTCTCCCACCAGGGGGCGCAACTTCCTATCACTAAAGCATTTTCTGTGTAATTTGTAGGGTGAGGCTCATTTGGGTAGGACTTCAACAGTGCTTTATGGTAAGTGAGAAATACTTAGGTGACTCTCCCAAGATGAATATTTCTCCAGGCTTCATGACTACAATATTCTTCATACTTGGTGGTGAGTTAAATACCTTTAAAAATTTGGACTCCTATGATGTCAATGAAATTTTTCTAATTTAGATAATCTGTCTAAGAGCTGCATCCCCAAGGTGACAAAGATCTCTTTTTTCCCCCTAGGAAGGACATATGGAGACTCAGTCACACAGACGGAAGACCAAGTTACTGTCCCAGAAGAGACTGTGCTGACCATAAACTGCACTTATACAGCCACAGGATACCCTGCTCTTTTCTGGTATGTCCAGTATCCTGGAGAAGGTCCATGGCTCCTCCTGAAAGCCACAAAGGACAAGGATAAGGGAGGCAACAAAGGCTTTGAAGCCACGTACAATAAAGACACCAGATCCTTCCACTTGAAGAAAGCCTCAGTGCAGGCGTCAGACTCGGCTGTGTACTACTGTGCTCTGAGTGACACAGTGGCAGGAACTGCAGGGGGAGCTGAGCACAAACTCTGAGTGATGACAAGGGAACTGGCTGCTCAGTGTCTGGTTCTGGGAGCATTTTCATTTCTGCATAGTGTGTGATGTGTACCATTCTGTTTCTCTCATTGATGTAATGTCACACAAACATCCAGAGCAGAAGACAAGACGTAGGTATCACCTACCGACAGCTCTTCAGTAGTAACACAAGAAATAGCTTCTGTCACCAATAGTTCCTCATGCAAAGGGTAATTTCAAGGTAAAACCATGTAGACAGTTTATCTTTGCAGACACGGTCCAGCCCCACTCTGGTCACAGGGTATCCTGGAAAATTTTGCTGTCTCACACATTTAGGCAGCTAAGTGTGATAGAGAAAGGGGCTTCCTTATAGTGTTTCCCTAACAGAATGAGGGACAAGAAACAACAAGCTAGCTACAGTCCCCACCTCCAAACCCTTTGGGCAAATCAGAAGGTGGGCACAAGATGATGTTCAAAAGAAACGGAGGGAGAAATGCACAACTGTAGAAATAACTCATGTCTAAATGGTGAGTGCCTACGGCTAGTGCACAGATAGTTGGCTTGTAAGAAAGCGGAAAGGGAGTTAGGTTTCAGGACAAGGGGAGGTGAAGCTTATATTTTTATCTTTTATCTTTATGAAATATTGTTAGAAAGACAGTAACAAAGTTAAAGGGCACAAACTGAGAGAGTATAGAGAAGAAGATGACAGCTGTAGAGTCTGTACAAGTCCACAAGATGAGCAAGTGTGTGGAAAAGGAAAGACTGTATCCCAGCCTGGAGAAAAATGTACCTCGGCCTAGTGAGGGACCCCACTAAGGCCCATCATGTGTTGGCCCCCCCGGAGCCTTCTTTGGGTGGGTTAGGTGTCTGAAGATCTGATTGGGTGCAAAACACTGGAGAAGATGGTGTGCATCTGGTAAAGATATTTGAAAGTGAGAGGATGAAGGAGTAGACCCAGTGGACAGAAGTGTGTGATTAAAAGGTCATCCGTGCTCTCTACTGCAGCTGGAACAGTAAAAGAAAAATCATTTTCCAAAGCCAGAAGAGAGTTAAAATGTCTTTAATGAATTGAGGACCAGCAGGTTTAAATGTAAGAGAACAAAAACATTATAATAGATAAATATAATATTTAATTACTCGATATAGGACAGTGATAAGTTATTCAAGAAATGAGCTTACCTTTTGGTTCAGAATACTGTCACCTGATAGCTTCCACCAAGTTACACCCTCAGTGACATGGACTAGGCAGAATGTACCTTTTTTCCAAAACTTGTGTATTATCAACCATTTGTTGATCTTCAAGACTTAAATATTAGCATTTCCTATATGGAGCTTTACTTAGTGTATTTAACTCATTTATATGTTCTGTATATTGTCCGTGCATATGCATGCCCATTTTAAATGATATATTCTCTGTTTTTAATGTTAACATTTGATCCAGTAATTTTATATTTACAACTTTTTGTTCTTTTTTAGATACTTAATTTTTAAGAGTAGTTTTAGGTTACAGAAAAGCTGAAAGAAAAGGTACTGCATCACAGGGTTCACTAGAAAAACAAATTGATATTTAATGTTTGCTCTTTTAGATTTTGTTCTTGCCCTGGTCTGATTGTTTTCTTTTTCCATTCCCCAGTTTCGTATGTGAATGTTTATCTTGTGCCACTTTTATTTTGGGAGTATATAATATGCATTTTGATTTTTATAAAAGTTTTTAGCTAAGTATTTGCCATGCATGTGTTAGAGATTCTGGACATGGACATTTGAGCAGTCTGGAATTACAGAGACTTTGAAAACTCTTGGAGATGGACTGAATATACTTTGTATTACTAGGTTGACATGAGTCTTCCGGACCTGGAGTGGAATGTTACAGTTTGGATTGAAATATTTCTCTAAACTCATGCAACAAGGCTTGGTTACCAAGTAATGAGCCTTGTGCAAGTCATTGTATAATGAAAGCTATAACTTCATTAAGTGAATACATTCACTGAAGACATTATAATCTGATAGTATTATTGGGAGGTGATGGAAACAGAAGGCGGGGCCTAACTGAAGACAGTGAATCATGGGTTTGACCCTGGAGACTCTTTCTGTCCCCTGGCCTGTTACTCTTTCCCTCTTTCCCTCTCTTCCTCCTTCCTGATATAAGGCAAGCAGATTTGCTCTTCTGTGCTCTTCTGCCTTGATGTTCTGTGTCATCTTGGGCCCACAGCAATGGAACCAGCTAACTGTAGGTTGAACATCTGAAACTATGAGATGAAGCAATTTTGTTTCCTTATGAAGATTTTCTCAGATATTTTGTCACAGCTGGGGAAACGGTGTAATAATGTGGTGTGCAGTAAGCATCATTTTTTGTTGTTTTATATCATGGAGACTTGGATAATTTTATAATACAATATGTATACTACTGTCGTATCACACAGAAACATGATTGCTAAAAACATGACTCTTAGTACTGGAACAAAATTACCATTCTGTTATTCAGTACAAATTTCTTATGGACCACTTCTTGGCAGATCTATTCCAGAAACTGAAGATATGGTAGAGAATAGAACAAAACCGATAAGCATCCCTAATACAAAGGATCTTACATTTCAATTTAGGGCTAACTTCATTCATTTCACTGCTTTTTGCATGAATCACGTCTTTTAAATCTTTAAGTATTAGGTAAGTGTTACTGCTGTTGTTTAGACTAAAATATCCCCCAAAGGGTTATGTGTTCAGTGGCAGTGCTCTGGGAAAATGACAGGATCACAGGGCTCTGTATTATCACTGGATGAGCCCCTTGATGGTACAGGGCTGAGTAAGCTGCCAGGAGGTGGAGCCTGGTAGGAGGTGAGTCACTGAGGAAGTGCCATGCAGGGTTTATGTCACCCTCAGTTCCGTCTCTTTGCCTCTTTTTTGCCCCTCTCTTCCTGCTTACTGGCTGACATGGTTGAGCAGCTCTCCCCCTCCTGCCCCTGCACTGTGCTGTTTCTGCCTTGGAGCTAGCTGAACATGGACTGAAACCTCTGAGCTAAATCGACATCTCCTCCCTCAATTTGTGTGTGTTGGGTGTTCTGTCCTAATGACAGAAAAGTGACCAAAAGGCCTACCATACATTTTTCAGATGAGGAAGCTCAAACTAGGTTCTGTATTCATAAGATATTGCTTATTCTACTTCCTGAACATTTCTTTGCTTAGTGGTACAAACAGAAGATTGTTCGTCAGTGAGTCAGACTTGGGGGCCGAGTGTTCCAGAGTAGAGAGTATTAGAACACATGTTTGGTGCCATTGAGGCTGTAATTTTTAGGGAGTTATTGATGAGTTTTAGTGAGGTTGACACAGAACGTGCAAGGAACAGTTTCTTAGTGTTTGCGATGGAGATGTCATGCATTGTGTGAGAGGAAGGAAGGAATGGAGCCATATTCTGGTTCACCTTTCTAGTTTTTAGCCCTTCTATTTATCATGTTTAAAGTGGTAAAACAGGACACTGTATGGCTGGCAGGAACTGTCTGTGAAACACTTTGTGGCAGTTTTCACTCACTCAAGCATCAAACCTACGTCTGTCAGCTCCTACTGTGAGCCAGCACTCAATGTAGGCAACAGCAGCCAAAGACACACTTGCTCAAGCCGAATGGAGCTTTTCAATGCGTGCCACCCTCTTCCTCCTTTCATTCTTTTATTTCACCCAGGCTATAAGCCTATGAGATGGCACCACTCACAGCCAGTGTGGGTCTTTCCCTCTCAGTTTGCTGGCCTTTATACCAATTATCTGTGGAAACTGCACAGGCATTCCCAAAGTGGGCTTCACTCATCAGCTAGGCATTTCTTAATCCAATCAAGTTAATATATCATGATAAAGGGACACAATCCACGGCTTGTCACCTTAACCATGTATGTCTTAATCTAAATTTAGTCTTTGAATAAAGACAATAGCTTCTCAGTGTTTGACCACGGCAGCACAGAGGATGAGTGATTTCTGGGAGACGAGACTTAGTTCAGTCATTGAAAGTCCAGCAGGGCTATTTCAACCAAGAACATTTAGCATTAGAGAGACTCTGAGGAGAGAAAGCCTGGAAACAAAGAACCCTTAGGCTCCTTTTTTTTAGAACATCAGAAAATGTTAGAGAAAAACAGGAGAAAAATGGAGAGAAAAAATAGGAAAAAAGCACTTCTGGCAACTAGCTGTCTCAAAGCAAAGAAGCTTTTCTTGGGGAAAAGAGAAGAACAAGGTCAGACACAACATGCTTCCTGCATCTAAAGTTCTTGTTGAAACATTCAGTTTTTACACAGCCTGTGTTTTTGTTGCCCTGTAGTGTTATTGTGCATTACTTAGCTAAGTCCTCCATAAATAGCAAATTTATGTTTCCCCTAATTCTTCTCCCAAAATAGAAGGCAAAGTTTGTGTTTGATGCTCAGGCTTTTGTTGTTTTAATAATGTTTAAACACCTATCTAAAGTCAATCAACTTTATGTTTCACAGAAAGAAAATAAAGATATCTGCTTAATGTATGTGAATATACAGAAGTATATGAACAAAATAGGAAATAGACATTCATTACAATTACACTCCTTGTTTCTATAATTATACAGTCATAGCTGACATTTATAACTACCTTCTTCTACCTATTTTGTAATCCCTTGGCCTTCAGCAAGCACTTCAGTAAGTCTTGGTTTTTTATCTGGCAGTGTGACCCAGCCTTCACTCTGAAACAATCAGACCTGTTTGTCATCCTGCCTGGATTGTACCATGCAGTTTTCCATTGACCTTAATGAAAGGGCGTGGCAATACTAGAAAATGCCTTAAGGGTCTTCCACACTCCAGAGTACTCTCTCTTCCCTTATAGAGCAATAGTCCAAGTTCCCCTTGGTAGTCTGGATCAATCATCCCAACAAACACTGCAAGTACTCTTTAGCCTGTTGACTCAGAAGCACGAATAGTCCAAAATGACTAGGACAAAGTTCCCAGTGGAATTGTTGTACCTCTTGATACGCAATTTACTCACTTGAGCTAAGGCTTTTAGGCCAACAGAATATAAGATCACTGAAACAGGAAGCACAAGTTTGCAAGATGTTCACTAGTATAAATGTGATTGATACCATTCTCATTTTTCACCCCTCCCATGAATCCTGACTATCCAGGAAATAGTATCATATATTGAGCACTGCCTGAGAGCATAGAATTCCTTCTGGATAAACTTGCCCCAGCACCTGCATGGTGTTGCACTTTGGTGGATGCTGTTACTTCCTCTTCTAAAAGCAATTCCACTGTTCTATCAATCCAGCTGCTTCTGGATAATGGGTAATGCAGTAAGATTAGGGGAATCTATGAGCATGAGCTATTTTCGGCCAATTCTTTGGCCACCAAATGCATTTCTTGGTCAGAAGCAACACTGTGTGGAATACTGTGACAGAAAAGTGTGACACTTATTTATTTTTGGTACGGGAGATCAAACTCATGACCTCGTACTTGCCAGGCAGGTACTTGTGCCGCTGAGCTAAATTCCCAGCCCAGAAAAATGTGATATTTAAAGGGTGACATTTGCTTCAGCAAAAAAAGTTCACTTATTGTTCGTGGGCATGCACTTATTAATTCATTTGTGTGTTTCAGAAATAGTTGTTAGCAAATTGCTGTGCTTCTCATATTATTCCATAGACAAAAATCTAATTTTCTACAATCCCAGTCATCTGCAAATGACTAAATCTGTGTTATTATTCTTCTGATTTTATCCTAAACTTGCAGTTAGGATTTTGTAGTGTACCACATGGCACCATACTGGCTATATAAGATAAAGTGAAATGGAATTCATCTTAGAAATATCATGATATGGAGTTTCCAAGTAAGGTGATGTGTAGGGTAAAAGTAAGCTAGTGAAAAATGCTAACTATTCATTAGAATTAAATAGAATCACTTGATAGTCAACAGGTGTCTTAAAAAAAGTCAGAAGTAAAAATACAATGCAGGCCTTGCAGTGAATAGCTTAATAATCTGCTGAATTTATTATCTTGACACAAGGGGGTGCACTTTCTCTCTCTCTCTCTCTCTCTCTCTCTCTCTCTCTCTCTGTCTCTCTTTCTCCTGGAGCTCAGAAGTATTTTTCATTGTGAGCTTAAACTTCTCTTACATTAAGAAATCAAGAATCAAGGTCTTAAAAGTCTCTGGAAATGGACTATTTTCCAGCATCCATTATTGCACTATTCCTAATGTTTGGTAAGTAAAATGACACATTAAGTTTAATGTCTATTATATAATGTTGCTGAAATTTCTAACTGTATTTTTTCTGAAGTATCAAAAGCCAGATCATGACCAGCATAACAAAAACTGAACTGATATATATATATATATATATATATATATATATATATATATTTACATTAATTTTTTTAAGGCAGAAATAATGGAGACTCAGTGACTCAAATGGAAGGCCAACTGATCCTTTCAGAGAAAGATCCCCTGACTGTGAACTGCTCCTATCCAAGCTCACTGCATCCTACACTATTCTGGTATGTCCAATACCCTGGAGAAAATCTACAGGTCTTTCTGAAAGCTACAAAGGACAAGGAGAAGGGAAGCAACAAAGGTTTTGAAGCCATGTATGATAAAGGAACCAGCTCCTTCCACTTGAAGAAAGCCTCAGTGCAGGCCTCAGACTCGGCTGTGTACTACTGTGCTCTGAGTGACACAGTGGCATGAACCACAGGAGGAGCTGAGCACAAACTCCTAGAAGAGGCCTAGGGCCTGATTTCTGAGTGTCTGTCTCTGGAGTCACTCTAGTTCAAGGACCAAGAACTAGAGTTTTACTGTTGCCGAATACCACAGTATTATGGAGTAAAAGTCATCCAAATCAATTCCAAAAATCAGTAGAAGAACAAGAAATAAATGTTTCTCACACAAGATGTTTGCACAGCATGAAAGAGAATAGTCTATCTTGATAGTTTCTCAACCATGACATAGCATTGTGATTCTAAAAGCATAAAACTTCAAAATAAATAAAATGCTCTCTATGTTTATTCTTACACATAAGTGGTCTCCCTGGTACTGTCCCAGTGATCCAAGAACATTACCTCTAGTCATACAGCTGTGGCATATGAGGGCTCACACTAATAATTTGAAAGAAGAGAGGTGAATTTTGAGATAAACTTTGACACAGGAAATAATATGTTCTTAAAGAAAAAGTTATAAGAAATAAAGAGAGGAAGAGAAGGTCTTATATTTGACTATACATCTGGGAAGAGATGATGGAACACTTATTAACTTTGTTTTAAGAAAATTATATGGTGTAAATGCATTGACGTTCTCCAAAATAAGTTACCAGTAACACAAAGTTGTATAGCTATCCTACTTTCCATAATTTCTCGGTGGGCTGTCTTTCTGTGAGCAACACATTATTTAAGATAGACAAGGAAATATGTAGAACCTGGAAAGGGAAAACTGCATTGAGATCAAGGTCTTTAGCTGACAATTTGTGGTGGAGAAGATCTTAGATTCCATAACACATTTATTCTACAGAAAGAAAGACTACAAATGGAATGAAAAATGATAGCAAGGATTACGAGGGAGGAAGGATGGCAAAGAAAAAAAAATTTGTATTTCAGTTCAGATAAAATGATGACTTAGCAAATACTGGGTATTTTGTTTTGCTTTGTCCATTATAAGAGCCTTTTATATCGTATAATTTTGTTGGCCCATAAAGGTTTTGATTGTGAGTTGGGTCCTTGAGCAAAACAGTAAGAGTGAAGGGATAATTTTCATGATCACTATTTTAGGGGCTGTGACGGAATGCCACAGTGCATATTACTGACATTGGCTTTGAAGACTTTGCTTATATCTCATTCATTATTGTCATTTGCCTTTCTTAGTTTATTTTTTAAAGAGGACCTTTTCTCTAGCTCTTTTTAATTAGTTGAGTGTATAGCTCACAGAAGAGAAATAATTTAGGTATACATATTGAAACACCACTGTAGTTTTTTGGATCACAAATCATATATATAGCACACTGTTATGATTGGTGACTAATTGTACAACTTCTTGCAAAGCCTGATGCTGACTGATTGGGGCAGATTTGCTATGTAGCTGGTACCCTCATGTCAAAGCATGTGGTTGTGTTTCTTCTCTTTCTCAGTGATAAGCTCATGTGACAGACTGCATGGATAAAGAGGAAATCAACCTACAAAGATGAAATGGTAACTGGGAACAGAAAACAGATGACACTGAAAGTGAAACTGTAAGAGAATGTTATAAAATTATAGAGTAAATAATGGATCATGTGCACGTGGACACCACTGTCCAAGAAGCACTGCATGTGCAGCTAATGACTGCAAACCTAGCAAGGTCAGTGGAGATGGTGGTTACGAGGTAAAGGACGAAGCACTCTGGGGTACTGACACTGCTGAAGAGCTTCATGAGCTCTCAGAGACATTTCACTCTACCAACATTAGAAATGCACAACTGAAAGTTAACTCAACTTAAAAGATGTGTGACAATTCTCCAAGGCATAAAAAGATGTTGGTGCCATAAATTATGTAATAACAAAATGACAACCACTGTTCAAAAAGTACTCTTCCCTGAATTTTTATAAAGAAATGAAACATTTTACTTCTCAGTATTTCCATGTTTTGACAGTTACTGAGGTAGAAAAATCAACTTAATGCTTGCAGAGTTTAGTATCTGATTGACTTCACAGGCCAGTGGTCTGAGCACATGTTTGGAGGATCATATTCAGTGTAGCAGCTATGAGGGATTTTTTTTTCTGAATGTGGTAGTCATGATTAATTCCATATTATCTTGTTTTAAAATCATGTATCATTTTCATTGTTTTGCATTGCTTGGTTTTATTCTGTTTTGTCTTGTTTGATTTTATTATATCTGGTGGCATTGGCAGCTATTTCAAAGATAAAAAATGATATATTATGGCAGCTATTATTAATTTCCTAATATCCTGTCTTGAAGTCTTGTATCACTTTCATTGTTTCATTTTGATTGGTTATATTCATTTCTCTTTTTTTATTTTATTGTCTCTCATGGTATGGGCAGATATTTGGAAGATATCAAGAAGCATGGCAGCGATTGTTGCTTTCCTGTTATCTTGTTTTGAGGTTCTGTATCACTTACTGCATCACTGTATCATGGATCACTGATCACTGTATCACTTTCATTAGCTTTACTGTTTTATTTTGTTTGATTTTATTCTTTTTAAATAAAATTTTCATGTTTTAAATTGCTAAACAAAGTAGTATTTTTTTATTTCTCCAAATATTTATAAGATACTGTGGACAAATTTTCAATGTTTTGACAAATATATAAAAAAATAGAAAAATTTTAATTTGTTCTCATGGACTAATGATAATTTGCATTCATTCATTTTATTAATTATCATTATTATTATTATTACTATTGGTACTAGGGATTAAACTCATGACCTTGTGATTACAAGGCAGGCACTGTGCTGCTGAGCTATATCCCTGGCCTTCAATATTATTTTAATGGTTCTGTATCACATAGAAGGCGAAGTTCCTTTTATAGTCTTCTTTTTTTTGGACAATCATGGACAAGTTTGAATTATTTCTCATGAATGTAATTCTGGGTTAACATTAGAATGTGGATGTTTATTCATTACACAAATAGATTAGTGAGCAAAGTAGAATAATTTTAGTGATTAGTGAAAATAATTTGAAAAAATGCAACTCCAATTCAAGATAAAACAGAATAATCAAAACATAAAATATATTCAATATCAAAAAAGAAACTAAGAAATGCTAAAGTACCACTAAGTACAAAGGAGAAATAAATCCAAATTCATCACACTGAATATTAATGTATAAACAAAAATTTTAAAATTTAATTATGTTGTTTAAAATAGAGATATAACTGGAACAGCAGGCCATAGAAAATTGGAAAAAGTGAGTTACTGTTTAGTAAGAAAATGTCTACCTAACTAGGATGGGATAAAATTTTTCTCCTATGAAATAAAAACCTGTCTCTAAACATAGAAAGTAAACTTTCCAAGACCTTCATGATGGAATTTTCTAATGCATATTCATTATGGGAAAAGTTTCTGTAACTTTTATTCAAATCCTTTTTATTGAAGGAAAAATAGGAAGAAAAGAAGAGAAGAAGCAGCAGCAGCAGCAGTAGCAGAAGAGGAGGAAGAAGAAGAAGAAGAAGAAGAAGAAGAAGAAGAAGAAGAAGAAGAAGAAGAAGAAGAAATAGAAACTACAAAAAAGTTTCAAAACACATCAATAATCAGGGGGCAACAATGGTATATACACTACACTGTCATCCCCAGATCGTTCACACAGAGCACAAGGCATCTGCATTCAAGTGTCTGAACAATAGGAGCACAAATCTTTTTGTTTAGTGAACTCAGAGAAATCAGTAGTATATTTATTGTAATTTTTATCTTAAAGAGAATTAAACCAAGCAAAATAAAATAGAATAAAACCACTCAAAACAAAACAAAGTAAGCAATACAGGACTTCAAAACAAGATAATGGGAATTCAACAGTGGTTAGCATAATGCCTCTTGTTGTCTTCAAAATAACTGCAGATATCTTCAGACATAGTAAATATCAAAGAAAGCCGAACAGAATAGAACCAGTAAAAACAAAACAATAAAGACAATAAAGGATTTCAAAACAAGATAATAGTAAATCTTAAATGGCTAACATAAGATCTTCTTATTTTTGAAATAGCTGCCCATGCCATTGGATATAATAAAATCAAGACAAAACAGAATAAAGCCCAGTCAAACAAAACAATGAAAATGATACAGAAATTTAGAACAAGATAATAGGTGTCGGTGTCGCTCCCGGCCGGCAGGAACAGCACGCAACAGGGTTTCGTGGTGGACAAGCTTTTCTTTATTTGTCTTCCTCACAGTCTGCCCCGGGATCCTACCCGGCCGAAGCCTCAACCGGTCCGCTCCCCGCGGCTCCTTCCGTGCTTCTCCCTCTGGCGGGAGAGGCACTCACTTTTATAAGGTTACAGTGGCCAATCAGTTCAAAGCGCGCGATGCGGGCTGATTGGCTAACATCAGTTGTTGCTAGGCAGACTATCTTACAGAGTGGGTTGTTTACCAAGCAGGAAGCAGGAGACAAGCGCCATCTTAGCACACTCGATGGGAGGGGTAATCTAGCTCAGGCTTTGCTCTTTCCTACAGGCCTCACGACCGCCAAGTAAGGCGACCGGGCTCGGCCGCGGCTCCCAACAAATAGGTAAATTAATGGCCACTACCTTCAGAAGGAGCTCCCACACAGATGCCACACAGTATGTTGTTATCCTCTGAACAGGTGATCAGACTACCAGCTTTGGTCTACAAAGTCAGTGAAACACTGAACACTGCAAGCATTAAGTTGTATTTTATCTCAATAGGCATCATCACAGCCTGTGTTTCTCTGATCAGCTGGTCGCTTAAGGGGGTGGGTGGGTGACGCTGGCTCCTGTTGTCTCCCTGCCCACTTCCCCGAAGAGGCTGATGTCTGATTCTCCCGCTAGTGCCTGCACATGGCTCTGACTCTCAAGGAGGGTCTGGCTTCTTGTTGGCTTACTGTTCTCCTCCCCCACAGTTTACAAATGCGCCGACACATAGGAGAAGTCTGGTGTCTGGTTCTTCCCCCAGTGGCCTCCTATCATGAGAAATTTTAACACTGCTTTCTTCTTTGTAATTAATTAAGATCATTGGCACGTTTTAGCTATACAAAATGATCACATTCATCATTGGCATTTTGTGCCTGTGTTACACCTGATTTTTCCCCATTCTCCTACACTGCTTTCAACCCTTCTTTCCCTTCCCATTTACAAAGTCTTTGTTTTTTTTCTTTTTTTTTTAATTTTTCTTTTCCCTTCCATTCTTTTGCCCTCTCTCCTTCATTGTTCCCCTTCACAACTGAAAATTTTATATATATTTCTTGACATCAATTATAAATTTTGGTCCTTATTTACACTTTCAGATTTTCACAGAGGAGAAACAATGCAGAATTTTCACATGTGTGTCCTATTTATTTCACTTGGAAGTATGACCTCAAGAATCATCTATTTACCTAGAAATGTCTCAGATTTATTCTTTGTTATGTTAAGGAAGTTCCCCA